CACGCGCATTATACATACGTTGTAAGAATATTTATATTCATTTGGGAATTATTTAGATAAAAGAACAGACATCTGAATTTATTCGGATTTTGAATAGGTGTTAATTATTGATGGTAATGCAATTAGAGATTTCTATAGAATATGCTGATGTTAGGAATTACATCAGGAAAGATCAGTTATGGTTCGTAAGAAATTGTAACAATCAGATATTCGTTACAAGTCATTAGAACGACCATTCATACGAACGATCATTTGTGGTTAATAAGAAATATGAACACACTCTCTCTCTCTCTTTTACAGATTATTAGTTAATTTGAAGGATCATTTGTGGAATTTAAGCTGACTATACAACGTTATATCAAGCGAAGAAATGGTGATACAAGTGTGGGTGGTGGATGGGTTTCTGATGAACCCGTCTACTAAACAGACAGGAACTTAGAGAGGAACTTAGTGAGGAATTTAGCAAGGAGCTTATTGAGGAACTTAGAGTGGATCTTTTATTTATAAATGGTTTCAGTCACCGAGGATCTTTTAAACTTTGCATAAATTAAAAAAATTTACAATGGTTTCGAGGATACATAAATGTTATTATTTTAACATAAAGTGTACATTTCGAACAATGGGACTTATTTCCGTTGGAGGTCTCTGTTGACTTACACATGAAGCATTCTGAGGGATAACTCATATATAACCCCCAGAGGGTGAACCATTGTATATATAAAAGATTTCTTGATATAAATGGCTTTCAACTGCCATTTATCTGTGTGGTCATTGTTCCACAGAGAAATTAAGAGCCGGGCTAGAAGCCTGAAGGTTAGGAATGGTAAGTGAAGAAAATTGAACTTATGAAGGACAGGTAAATAGAATGTTCAGAGATTAGAAATGGTAGGCAAATGAGAAGCTTAGAGGTTAGTGATTGTAGGAAAGTAAGCAATGAGAGGACAAATAAGGGATTCAATAAACCGTAGAGAGAGAGAGAGAGAGAGAGAGAGAGAGAGAGAGAGAGAGAGAGAGAGAGAGAGAGAGAGGTGAAAAATAGAGAGATTAATAAGAGTTACAAAGTGGCAAGACTCTCAGTGGGTAGAGGATGACAAGGGTAATACATAGGCAAAACCAGTGGTATATACGGAGAATCCTTTACAAGCATTAGCACTTAAATGTTGTTTTTATATGAATAACTTCAAATGGTAACGTGTATAGCAATATGTTTCTGAAGTATACATCAAAACCATCAAACTGTTTCAGATCCATTAGCAAGGATGCAGCGTCGGAGGGGCTAACAGCTGTTGTCTTTTCCTCAGACATCGTGCTAGCTATGGAGTTGTCAGCCATGTGTTTCGGAGCTCTCCTGGCTCTCTGCATCGTCGCCTGCTGCGCCTACAAGATCTGCGGCCCAGCCGAGGAAGAGGACTGGGGCTCCCGATATTCCGTGCTCAAGCCTCCGCAGCCTCGCCTCGCTCCGGAGCTCCTGCGGGAGATTTACACACTACCTTCTGCCACTTCTTCCGTCACTCGCTCGAGCAGCAAACCCTTGGCTGCAGCCACAGTGCCACCGACAGTCCAGCGGCAGACAGCGAAAGCAGCTGTGCCTGCCAGTGTGCGTATGGAGGGTCTGCCGCGAGAGACTTCGGTGAAAAGAGCCACAGTGCCAGAGGTCAGAGTGGCAAGTTATGGCCAGCTTCCGAACGGCCGGCCAGGAGAGCCTCTACTTGATGATATTATTCCAGCCGCCCCACCTCGGCCCCAAACACCTCGCAGCGTTCGTTTATCGGCCAAGAAGTCTCCGCGGCTGTTGAACATCGGCTCAATCCTTGAAGGACGTCCCCGGCTGCTGACACTACCGTCCCTGTCGTCTTCAAGAGCGGCGAGGCAGCAGGCAGGTCGAGGAGCTGCCAACAGACTGGCAGAATACAACCAGACGAGCTCCACCTTGGATATAGCTCGTGCTGCTGCTGCAACCATTCCCAACCTGCACTACACTCACAGGTCACTCTCGGACCCTCACACAGCCGTCGTCTAGCAGCTCTTTAAGGGCTTCCTCCCTCCAAAGAAGATATATAAAAGTTCCGCAACATCCTAGGTAGCTAACATAGGAGTGAATGTAGCAGTTACCGTTTTTTTTAAACCGCGTAACTGGTCAACTGCTCAATCTATGGTGCTTACTGCACACTTCCCCGACACTCCACTGTGTTCCAGCAAGTATTCTGTACACTGTTTTGTACACTGTTCTGAGACTAGTGGATACTGACCATCTCAGTGTGAACTGGGAATCTATCATCAGTTTGTGACTAAAACTTAGCCACGTTACCTCAGGCTGTAACCTTATGAGTGACAAGAGAGAAATAAAACGAAAATTTTATATCATTTTTTGAGGGTCTGGAGATACAGTAACCGCGTACTCGACATATTCAGAAATATGTAAGTACTGACAAACAGCACCGATGACTCTAGAAGCGATAGTTACTAACTGTAGAAGATTCCTATACTCATCTGTATGCAAACACAGAGTTTAATACTGCATTTTACCGTTTTACAGCATATATATATTATATATATATATATATATATATATATATATATATATATATATATATATATATATATATATATATATATATATATATATATATATATATATATATATATATATATATATATAATGCAGCTAATGTGTGTATGTGTGCGTGTGTGTCTCTGTTTGATTCAGGACGTTATATTTTACTTGGCAATCTTTACTCTATAACGTGATTAATTGAAATAATGTGGCGTAACTTTGATGATAGATGAGAATGCACTCTGAGGACCAAATAACTAAAAATATCAAGTATAACTGTTGATTTATTCGTCAGGGAAAATTTATGTTACGCAGGTGTTTATCATGCAATGATCCGCCCTGTGATGGAGGCAAAAAAACAATTGCTGCCATGCAGGGCTGAGGGTGTGGGTAGTCGTAAGAATCACTGCAGCCACAACTGCTGATTTACCTATAGCAACCAGTATATTTCTTCGAAAGGTGACCCATTGGTTTGTTTACAGTGTGTAAGTTGAGTGTCACGGTCACTACTCGACCTATTACAGGATACCTTGAGTATAACTCGAGTGCAGAGGTCACTACTCGACTTGTTACAGGATACTTCGAATATAAGTCGAGTGCAGAGGTCACTACTCGACTTGTTACAGGATACCTCGAATATAAGTCGAGGTCAGAGGTAAAGTACTAATTCATTACAAGATGCTTTAAGAGTAGTGGTGAACTATCGACCTCAAAATACAGAAGCAGGCAAATACAACATGAATTAACGTATTTCCAACTGTTTCGAAACATGTTGACGGAGATTTAAGTATACATAAGGGAAGAGGGGACGGGGTTATTGTTGAAATTTATTGAGAGAATTATTTTTCATGAAAATAGGCTTGCAACCTTAATATAGCTTAATGGATTTGTACTGTTAACTGAAGACCTTCAAAGAGTGTAAAGGCGGCCAGAGTCAAACACATAGAGGTTCCTGAAGTCCGTTGGGCATCAAAAGCCTGTGTACACTCACATGTGGTTGTGTACATATGCACACATGAGGGTGTACACACACACACACCCGGGATTGTGTACACTTTCATGAAGCATTTACTGTTTACAAATAAAGAAACTGCTCATAAAAATCACATAGAATTAGAGAATAATTCCTAGTATCTTAGATGATAACCCTACTATCAGTGACATTTATGGATCCAACGTTTTCTCTGGTCGAAGCTCAATACCATACACATGTGAACTGTACATAGATATAGACTGACAACTTGTACATGGCTTCAGCTGAGACTTAGGGAGTAACTTCTTCTTGTGTCGTCAAGGAACGGTTTTGACTAACTGCCAGGTAGTTCCATTGTCCTTTTTGTTCCAATTGTCGCCTTGACGGCTCCCTTAACTTAGGCATTTCTGTTATCTGTTATACTGGTTAATCGCCCCTGCTGCCCGGTCTTCAACCAGTCCTCTTAAATTACAAAAGGAAATATTACAAAGGCTGAGACCTATTAAGAATCACAAAGGGGATATATTGATAACTGTAAACATAATGTTAAGTACAAGTGTGTAAGGTTTAATTATTATCATCTTGCGCCTCCGTGAGCATGGAATGGAAACCCAAAAATCCTACCAGAGTGCATAACGTTTAATAGGCTTCCGTTCCACACTTACATGGTAAGATGGTGATTCAAGTTTTCTTTAAACCGAGTGATAGGGAGGAGGATCTGGCGACAACTGGAGGAAAAGAGATGAGGCGGGAAAATTGTAGATTTTGTTGTAGCTACGAGATTAGTGATCTTTATTTCCATGTAAATAATACTGGCCCTTTTTTTATTACCTTCCTCTGTAAACAACGATATTTTGAATATTGTCACAGTACCGTGTCCGGAACAATACCGTGGTTGGAATAATGATGTGGCTGGGACAATACCGTGGATGGAATAATTCCATGGCTGGAACGGTGTCACTGCTAGAACAATATCGTGGGTAGAATATTGACTTGGCTTTAACAATGCTGTATGTTGAACAATACCGTCGCTGGAACAATACAGTGGCTGGAACAATACTGTGCTTTGAATAATGCCGTGGTTAGAACAATACCGTGGCAAGAACAATATCGTGGAAGGAACAATACCGTGACAGGAACAATACCATGGCAGGAACACCACCGTGGCAGGAACAATTCACAACAAATGAGCAACTTGGATATCAATTTCCAGGTTGTATTCTCAGTCTCTTGTGGCTCAATAAGGGTCCAGGAGATACGAGATGTGTCTGGCGACTTAGCCTCTAACGAGTAAGTTCTGAAATATGTTTCGACAGGCTCGGCAAGGTGTTGCTCAGAATTCGGAAGGCCTAAGAAGATTCCCTTTTCTTCTTGAGAATAACCGCTTAAGAATATGAAGACTGCGATATTCCTAGTTAGTCTTAGTTCCTTGTGAGTTGACGTTGTGCTTTTCAGGTAAAGCTTGCCAGCTTGGCCCATTTGTCAAGGTCTGAACTGCCAAAGCTATCACAAATTATATTGATTTTGATTGTGAATCGCGAAAATTAATTTTGGAAATATGGGAATTAAAAAAGGTGTATTGAGAGGATATATTAAATGGTCAGGATTAGCCAATATTAGGACGAGAAAACAGTATATTGCTGTTAGATTTAGGCTGCTTAATAGAGCCTTTTAACGTAAAGATAAAAAGTAATGCATACTTTGTATATTCTCATGAATGTGCCTGTCATTCCAATACAGAAAATTTTCGAAAATTCTCATTTGAGAGGGAAATTCGGATTTTTTTATTTTATTTGGACACTCTACCTGAGAAAGCACGACATGAAAAAAATTTTTAGGCATGTACTTTTTCATTTTTTCCATGTGCTTATTTTCACGGTTATATATATATATATATATATATATATATATATATATATATATATATATATATATATATATATATATATATATATATATATATATATATATATATATATATATATATATATATATATATATATATATATATATAATATATATATATATATATATATATATATATATATATATATATATATATATATATATATAATATATACATATATATATATATATATATATATATATATATATATATATATATATATATATATACATATATATATATATATATATATTATATATATATATATATATATATATATATATATATATATATTGGATAAATAGCTTTATTGTTTGTACTGGTGTAATGGTGTACAAGCCTTAACGGAAACAATCTACACGATGTGATATATATTGCAAACCTACAATATTTACATGTAATTTTTGACTATTATTATCTACGTTAGGTGACTTAATCATCCTGGAATAAACCAGAGTTTTAAACACATCAATTTGACACCAAATATCCACTGCAAAACAAATTGCGAGAGTAAATCTACTTTTTACCAAAAAATTTTTTCTATGAATCAAATAGATGATTTTTTTTTTCCTCCAAGACTCTATTATACACTTGAAACACATCCCTCAGTTTTTTGATAAGTATTTCCTTGATCTAAAATTATTTTTTAATTATCCATTTTCTCTCGCGTGATCTGATTATTTTTATATACAATTTTATATATTTGTATTATTCCTAAGGTAATATTTTGAAAAAAAAAAAAATCTTCTCTTCGATAAATGGAAATAAAGTAAGAGGTGAACTTATGATGCTCAAACAACCGTGTGTGTGTGTGTGTGTGTGTGTGTGTGTGTGTGTGTGTGTGTGTGTGTGTGTGTGTGTGTGTGTGTGTGCTGCTTTAATCCGTTTGTTTTATTCTTTTTTACTGTTATATTTGTAAACTGTTTCTATCATGTTGTAAACTTTCATATAATTACACCAATATTGATTTATGTAAATGTAATCCTCTTCTTAGCCTTAGAATGTGTGGTGTAACTTAAGGTAATCGTAGGGGATCAAGTAAATGTAATAGATAGAGTTTGTTGCATAATAAAAGCTATTTTACTAGCAAAGTTTTACTAGCAAAGTTTTACTAGCAAAGTTTCGAGCTGTTGAAAATTGTCTTCTGTAAATATATAAGTAAATGTAGGTAAAACATGTGGTAAATAACTGTAAATGTTTTGGTAGAGGTTGTTTACAGTAGATCCATCTATGTATATTTTAGTATTAATACCTTTTCTGAATAGGGATAGAATACATGAGAGAATACTACTGAGAATACTTGCTTCGTGTATACTGAACAAATTTTTAAACGTGTGTGTTTACATGTGTGTTCTTTGTTTGTTTGTGTGTGTGTGTGTGTGTGTGTGTGTGTGTGTGTGTGTGTGTGTGTGTGTGTGTGTGTGTGTGTGTGTGTGTGTGTGTGTGTGTGTGTGTGTGTGTGTGTCTATGTCTGTGTGTGTGTGTGTGTGTACGGGGATAGTACCTGGCTATGGTATCAGTCGTAGTTAATCCATCACGATGTACGGAAGACCATGGTCGTTCTTCCTAGCACACGCCCAATCGTAAAATTCCTGGATATCTGTGGTATTATGGATCGTCAGTGTGGAAAATGATACGGTTTCAACCCTTCGCCTTCAGTACAAATCTGGAGGAGGTCCACGGCGCGGTGTCAGGGATCACTCTAGATTAGTAGGGAACTCACAGATCAGTCATTAAGATTAAAATTGACCTAGAGGAGGAAAAGGAGAACTGCAGAAAGGCGACCTCATAGTACCGTGCTTACAAAATAAAATTTAAAAGGTCTCAGTGAGGAGATAGAAGAAACTGAAAAAGAAATTTAAAAAATAGTAAGTGAATAAGAGAACCAGAACAATAGATGACATCTCAAACGTTAAGCTGTGAAATAAAATTATTAACAACAGCGAGAACATCCTAAATTGCAGCCTTCGCACCTCTCGCGGAGGTCATAACAGCATAAACAATAACAAATGTAATATTTCCAGGAGGGTATCAAATACCGAGGAGAGAAATGTGAGACGTGGGTAG